TCATTAAATTAAAAATGAAAAAACTACCAGAACTCCTAATCATTTTCTACATAACCATGTGCGCTAAGGAAACGGCAAACTATTCTTTTGCATTCTCCTGAAAAAGGTCTCATAACTGAAAAATAAATTTCGTTAGGTTAAATGCAAACTTAGTCTCCAAACTTTAAAATTTTGCACAATTTTGGTTTTTTAATTTTTTTTATTTCCTTAACTATGAAATATGTATATTTTTAGTCATTTCATCAGTTAATTTGTTAAATTTATTTATTAATATATTTTTAGTCCTCTAATTTTAAGATTTTTCACAACTTTTGTCCCTTAATTTAAAAAGTTCAGGGATAAAAAATGTGTATATATAGACATACTTAATAGATTAATTGATAAAAAGACTAAAAAAAATCTATTTTCATGCACGTACCATATTCTTCTCCAATATGAGTTTTGTTTATGTCTCGAATGAATTCAAGAACATATTTGAAGAAATTTTGACCGTCAGTTGGAATGGTTTGTGGATTCTGAACTACAATAACGACAAAACCTCATAAGATAGCAATTACAACCCAAGAAGTAATACAGACTTGGGCATGGACTTGGAAAGCTTCGATTTGCCGATGTAAATGTTGGTTGACTTCCACACCAGAGATATGGTATAATCCATTTAGTGTGTTGATAGAACATGATATAATATTTCATATTACTCTTTGACAAAAATAGAGGCAAAACAAAATCAACTTGAATTTGAGACAGTTATTTGAAATCTTAGTGAAAGACTAGATTTGTTATCTCATGCTTGCTTTTCGTGAAAATATACCAATTGAAGTGGAGGGTTTCTTCAAACAACAAGGAGCTAGGTCAACTACTCAATCAAATGATATTGAGCATGTTTCCCATCCCTTCTCGAGAAGAAAGCGAGCTATTTCTTTGCATGCTCAATTTCATTAGAGCCATTATTCATAAAATATATCTAGGTAAAACAAGTATCATCATCAATAAAAAACATAAAATACTCAGAACCCCCATGATGGACGTAAGAAATAGACCTCAAGTGTCAGAATGCACAAGATCAAAAGGAGTAACAGAAAGAAAATGACTGCTTAAAAATGATCAAAAGTCATAATGATTGAAGATTATAACTAAGTTTTGAAATTGATAAAGCATTTGGTCAAGTCAATGACTTTATAAAAATATTGTCACTATAACTAACATTCATAACTGAACCATTATTCTAACAATTGACAGTGTAGTTGGCGATGTGTTTATCAATCTACGTCGAACCTCGTGACCATCCACCTACTAGGATTTTAGCCTTTTTCCCATTTGTCCATTTGATGTATATATCACTAGCGGGCGTCAGTAATCATGACTATATCAGAGACAAAACCATACAGGATTTACAAAAAAAATCCATAATTCCCAATCAAATCTCAAATTCTAGAAATAATCAAAAAATTTCCATGTGGTCATGGATTTAACAAGAAATTCATAATTTACAAAAATTCTCAAATCATCAGAGCAGTTAAGCAAATTCCAAGTAAACATGCTCTACTCAATGAAAATGAAAATAATTTCATTTCAAACCAATCATGCTCGGTATCAACAAAATCAATTTAAACCTTGTCACCATCTCAAAAATGATTTAAAATATGCTTTTATTTTAAAATCAAAGGGTGTTATCATAATTTACTTACCTCAAATCCGTAATACTGAAAACTCAAACCAAGTGCTCGGATGACAGAACATTCAAGAACCTAATCAAAATACCCCAAAATTAATACCGTACCACCCCAAAATTAATACCGTACCACCACAAATTCAAAGTAAAAACATCATTAGGATCACCCCCTAATCAAGATGCTATTCATATTAACCTCCACATGATCGGACACCTCTAATTTCATTCTTAATAGAAACTAAACATTTAAACCTTCCTATCATTGGTCATTAGTGCGTAAACAATAATTTGTAAACAGGATCATAAACAGTACTCATAAACAGTAATCACACAGTGTAACTGCAACTTCCAGAAATTTGGTAAAACAATAGCTAATCCACGGGATTTTTCTCCAGAACCTCACACCAGCTAATCAAGATAATTTTTCTACATGAATTAAACTAAGAAAAATCATCTCACTGCTGTTGAAATTCTTCCCTCTTTCAGCAGAAAATCCAAACAGTACAAGGACAAATCAAGGCAGAAAATATGAAGATTCAGGGCAGCAATTAATTAACCATTTTCGGACTTAAAGAAGCCATCAACATTCCAAAATTTTTCCAGCAGCCAAAACCGGAGCTGGCGGGTATGGAGGTCGACGGAGACTGGAGAAGAAATCATGAAAACTACCACAAAATTGCAAGAAACAAAAGGGATTAGAGTGACCCAAGCCAAATTAAAGCTAAAGAGATGAACTTGAAGCTGGTTCTTACCGAAAATCCCGAAGGATTCACACCCAGCAGAACAACGGACAGACAAAGGGGGAGAAACAGAGCAGATCTGAAATTTTTCTGCAGGGGGGAAGATTTCTAAGTCCTAATTTTTATCTTTACCAAGAAAAGAAAGGGAAAAATTTAAGCTTTTGCTGATTTTTTTTTTTTTCCAAGAAATGGAAGTCGGTGCTTGGGCTTCTTTTTCGGGAGCTGCAGGGGTGAGGAAGAAGAAGAAACTCGCGTGGCTGAGGAAGAAAGAAGGAACAGGAAATCAGCTTGATCCTTATCCTAATGTTTTTCTCTTTTAAGTCCCTCAAATTTGGATATTGTAGCTAATAGGCCTTAAAATAATATTTTTTCACATGAAAGTGCTCAACTTAAATGTTAGAATTTCAGAAAATTTGGGATATTACATAATATGTACCCAAAAAATATATATATAATAAATATATTTTTAATTAATTTTTATTAA